TGCTGAATAGGAGTGGTGAGAGTGAACATTCCTGTCTTGTTCCTGTTCTTAAGAAGAGTGCCTCCAGCTTTTGCTTATTCATTATGATGTTGGCTGTGGGTTTGTCAGAGATGGCTCTGATTATTTTGAAGTATGTTTCTTCAATGCCTCGTCTGTTAGGATTTTTATTATGAAGGAATGTTTAATTTTATCAAAACTTTTCTACATCTATTGAGATGATTGTATGATTTTAATTTTTAAATATTTTTGAAATGGATTTTCACTCTGTTGCCCAGGCTGGAATACAATGACACAATCTGTGCTCACTGCAAGCTCCACCTCCTGGATTCAAGCGATTCCCCTGCCTCAGCCTTCTGGGTTTCACCATGTTGGCCAGGCTGGTCTCAAATTTGTGACCTCAGGTAGTTTGCTCACCTCAGCCTCCCAAAGTGCTGGGATTACATGTGTAAGCCACCACACCTAGCCAATTGTATGTTTTAAGTTTGGTTTATGTGGCGAATCAAATTTAATGATTTATAGATGTTGAACCAATCTTGCATCCCCGAAATAAAGCCTACTTGATTTTGGCAAATTAACTTTTTGTTGTGCTGCTGGACTTGGTTTGCTGGTGTTTCCTTGAGGATTTTTATGTCTATGTTCATCAGGGATATTGGCCTATAATTTTCTTTTTTCATTGTGTCTTTGTCAGGTTTGGATATTAGGGTAATGTTGACTTCATAGAATGATGTAGGAAGAAGGCTCTTCTCTTTCAATTTTTTGGAATAGTTTCATTAGAATTGGTCCTAGCTATTCCTTGTATTTCTGGTAGAATTTGGCTATAAATCCATCTAGTTTTGGCCTTTTTTTTTCTATTGGTTTGTAGGTTTCTTTAAAATTACTGATTTAAATATGGAACTCAATATTGATCTGTTCAGGGTTTCAATTTCTTCCTGATTCAATCATGGAAGGTTGTGTTTTTCCAGGAGTTTACCCATTTCCTCTAGATTTTCTAGTTTATCTGCAAAAAGGCATTCATAATAGTCTCAGAGGATCTTTTGCATTTCTGTGGGGTTGGTTGTAGTGTTACTTCTGTCATTTCTGATTGTGCTTATTTGTATCTTCTCTTTATAAAATTTTGTTAATCTAGCTAGCAGTCCAAACTGGTTTTAGCTGACTCACAGAGGATGCATAGTAAAGGTTTTGTGCCCTCTGCTTCACCTTTTAACATCAAATGGCTGAAAACTTCACCCTTGGATCATGCTAACACCACCATTTTTTGAACATGCAACACATGAAGAAGCATGAAACTCAATTGCACAAAGCCATATTTCTCCTTTTATAAATATTCATGACTACCCCTAGGACTTATTGAACGTGTATACTTAGCTAACTAATTCAGCATAAATTCCTGTCTTATCTTTCCCTCCCTGAAAGTGCACGTTCTCAGCTTCTGCTGGATGCTATGCTTCTCAGCCTGAAGGATGGCCAGCTTGCAGCCTGCAGTAATCAGACAGCAGTAATGCCTGATTAATGGACTCCTCTCTGAAGGATGATATGAGAGATGTGATATGTCTGTTCTGCTATCTCAGGGAACAGGGATAGATTATAGCAGTATATGAATATGAACTTATTTTACTTTTGCATCTCCATTTGCTTCAAATCAGTAAACCACAATATGAGGAAAAAGAGGAACTGCAACCTGCCGTCCTTGGTTATCTAATTAGCTCCCACATAGGACAGGCAGAAGAATCTGTTGTATTCATTAGGATTTAGCAACAATAAACAGGAGTGGCTCAGGATGATGCATAAACTCTTCCTGTAAGTCTTTTAAAGTTAATTTGGTGGGGGATGGGAGGAGAAAAACACCTGTCTTATTTAAACAGAGGTAAAATAACATAAAGCCTTTTCTGACCATGGGAACCCTTGTGGGGTTTTCTGCACTTATTGTTCTCAACATATAATTTAGCTCTTAATTATATCATGTCATGATATTCAATTCCATGTGTGTTACTCACATCTCTCCAAAAAGATTGGAAGCAATTTGAGGAGACAGATCATGTTTTCTCTATTGCAAGACCCAGGTGTCAAGAAATGCTTGCAATGAACTCAATAATCATACTACATGTTAGGGATAGCCAAGATATTTTAACTGATTATATTAAAAAACTGGCTCACTATATGAATTATAAAAACTGAATCTACCTAACATCACATCCAAAGGTGGACTCCACATGTATTAAAGACCTAATGTAAAAGGTAAAACTATAGAGTTAATATAAAAACATAGTAAAAATTTTTTATATCGTAGAAGGGAAGGACTTTTTAAAGAAAAGCATCAGAATACAATCATAGGTAAAACAATGATAAAAATGGTTACTTCCGAGCTATAGATTTCTGTTTCATAAAGGACAACATGGTCAATATCAGTAGAAGACAGAATGGATAAGTGTAGTGTCTACAACCAACACACTATTAATATCTAGAAAATATAAAGAACTTCTGCAAAGCAATACAAATGAGGCAAAAAAGCAAGTGTAACAGAAAAACAAGCAAAGAATATGTATAGTCGATTTATAGAAATGAAAGTCCAAAAGGTTAATAATTATATGTAACAATGCACAAACTCATTAACAACTAGAAACATGCAAATTAAATTACAAAAACGATACTACTTTATACCTATTAGGGTGGCAAAAATTAGAAAACCAAATAATACCAAGTGCTGTGGACTGAATGTTTGTGTTCCCTTGAAATGTATATTTTGAGATCCTAGCTCCCAAAGTGATGATAGTAGGAGATGGGGCCTTTGGAGGGTACTTAGGTCATGAGGGTGGAGTTCTCAGGGAAGTCATTATTGTCCTTACAAAAGAAAGTTCTCTTATGACTTCTGCCAAGGGGGACACAGCAAGGTGGTGTTCCCTGAACTGGGCAGCAGTCCCTCACCAGACATTTGCTAGAGCCTTGATCATCTTGATTTTGGAAACTTCAGGCTCTATAACTGTGAGAAATCAGTGTTTGTTGTTTAAGATACCCAGCCTATGGCATTTTTGTTTGTAATCACTTAAACATACTAAGGCACTAAGTGTTGGTAAGATGTGGGGACGTAGAAATGCTGATGCATTGTAGATGGGAGTGCTCACGGATTCAGCCATTTTGAAGAGCAAATCTGCACCAATTGGCCAAATTAAGTATAGGTAATTCAATGACCTAGTAATTCTGCTTCCAGAAGTACTTGCATAGATCTATAAGGGGATAAGTAGGAGTCTGTTTAGTGTGGCATTTCTTGGCATGGTAAGCAGGTAAACTATTCTGGATACACACTATGAATTAGCAGTTAACAGCAATAAATTAAAGGTATATTTAATAACATAGATATTTTTAAAAGTTCTCAGTAAAAAGAGATGAAACAAAAGGGATTTATAACACAAAATATAAGTTAAAAGCATGTGCATACAAAACAACAAAACATATTTTTGTAAGAATGAATACAAGCAAAAGAATACCACATGAAACATGAAATGGTTGCCTGCAAGGGGGAGACTAAGGGCTTACGCTATAGGGTTAAAGGAGGGTAAATAAATAATGACTATCGGAGAAGGGCCTTGCAGGTTCCCATGATGATAATATGTTCTTAATTAACTTAGCCCTAGTGTTGGAAGGAACACATGCTTAACTCATACTTAAAAGTCCACTATTAAATACAGTTTCTGTTCACATGCACCTCCGCATTTCTCTCACATCTTTTAAGACCTATTGCATTCCTGTTGATTTACTTCAGTAAAGACAGAATTTCTCAGTTAACTTACAACAACAGTAACAGTAACAACGGTAACGTTCGCTATAAAACATAAATAAATTTCAAAATTTCCCAGTAAGTGATAACATTTTCCATCTTTCAAAGAATGTGTTTATCTGTTTAACTAAGGCAAGTTAAGAGTTTTCTTTTTTTACATTGAGGAGGTTATGTGGAGTCACTTAGGAGTAGAGGAATAGAGGAGGTATTTGGGTGTATAGGTGCAGGCTCCAAGTTCATTCTAGCATATAATTTGCAATCAAGAATTGATTGCAAATGCTCTCTTATAAGATGCTCTGCATGTGAAAGAATGAAGAATCTATAGCAATCTGTAGACATTAATTATTGGTTGGGAAGGATGAGGCCATAAAATTTAAAAATTGTGCATGATTTAATGTTAACTGAAAATAGAGATTATAAACTCTATGATATTATTGCAAATATGATGCCATTAAGTTTACTATGGACAAGGAGCAAATGATGACATGAAAAAATGACAAATGATTTGAGAAAGAAAGAAAATGTCTTGAAAATGGTTCTTTGACTAAAACCAATATATTTGTCATTTCTTTCTTTTTAAAACAAATCTCTGCTTCTGTGCTTCCTTATTAGAAAAATATTTGAACATAGTTTTTGAGTGAGAGTTCATGAGCATCCTGAGTGCAATAATTATACAACTGAGTGTGCTTTTTTATTTTGGGGGGCAGTCTTTACTTTAGCTTTAATAAAATTATTAGCATTTGACTTGATTATTACGCAAGTCTGGGTTTTTGTCTTTATCAATGTATTTGCAAGACAAAATGAACATAAATTCTGAAAACACTCAAAATCTTAAAAATGTGGTCTTACAAAAAAGTTTGGGGTCTTAGAAAACCTAGTTTTGGTATGATTAGGGTTTTCTATTGGGGAAACATTGTGGTAGAATTGGGGAAGAAATAGGCTAGGATATCTAGGCCTCAATTCTCTCACCTTTAAATAAGGTGGTTGAGTTAGAAAGAGTGGCTTATCAGAATCACCCATTTGTTAGACAGGCAGATTCCCTTACTCCCCTCTTGTCACCTACCCATCTATTCAGACTCTGATTAAGCAGTTCTGGGATGGGGCCTAGCAATCTGCAAGATGATTCTAATGTGGGTGGTCTGAAAATCATGATTTTAGAAATGGAGAAATGATCCACCAATTCCCTTCTGCTTGCATTATTTTATGGTAAAAAGTTTACTCGACTCACCAAATTTTCAGTCGTCTCTCGTAAGTCCTTAGGTTGGTATATGTTGCTTTGTCCAAAATTGCTATTGATTTGTGGAACTAAAATTTTAAAGGAGCCACGATAGTACTCCATTTTTTGGTCTGCAATGGAAATGAAAAATAGGAAACTAAGTGGTTTGGACAAAGATTTCAGAACCCAACTACAATGGGGCTAATATAAAGTCTTGAATATTTGACTGAGCTTGTTCGTAATGGAGTTTCATTTAAAAAATAATGTTTTATATTAATCATAATTACTGCCATTTACTGAGTTCCTACTATATACCACACAATGTCCTGTGCACTTTTCATGTATTTGCTCATTTAATCCTCATACCAGCTCTATAAGATCAGTATCACCTTCATTTTACAGATGAGGAAAGATGCACAGAGGCATTAAGTAACTTTTTCTACAAATAGTAGGTGGTCTATCCAAATTTTAAACCCAGACAGTCTAACTGCAGAGCTTGAACATTTCATTGCTACATTTCCCCTTGCTGAGTTGAAATGTGTACCACCGTACACTCTAGTGGAAGTGGAGATAAGTGAACATCCTTGTAAATTTTGATTTGTAACAAGAGAACCTGGCACACAAAGAAAAACCTGAAAAAAAAAGTATAGAGAAGAGCTGTCTGAGATTGAAGATGAGACTAGTGTGTAACAGGATAAATCTACTAGGAAATGTGAAAAAAAGAAAGCAGTTGAGAGTCCTGAGGAGTTTGGTAATCTGAGGAGTAAGCCAAGAGATGGTAAGAAAGCTACAGAGTTAAAGACAAAGAATGGGAAAAAAAAAAAAAAAAAGCCACAAAATAACCCTAATCTTTGAGAAGCCTGGCTCAGGGAAGAGGCAGTGGGTTTCTAGACTATAAACCAAGGAAAGAAAGAGGGATCTCAGTAGCATATGTCTTAAGTGGGAAATCTCTGGACCTTGTAATACTTTTTTAGACGTCCTGATTACTTATCCATATAATCCACACTGTTTTCAAACTTTACTCTCCTTGTAAAGCGGCTTTTATGCAACCAAATAAACAGATCCGAGAATCTTTTGTCAATGGTATAAACTACAGCTGGGGTTGTCATATAAGGCCTATTACTATGACCTTAAGCCCTTTAAGGCTCCAAATAGAGTCTTTGCTCCCCCATTAAATCTGTGGAAGTTGACAACAGATAAGACCATTAAAGTGAGCACCCTGAGTTATTTGTTTGATCACATACATCCATGTGAGAGTAACTTTGTAGAGATTTGTCAAAAAATGTAAATGGCTGGTATTCTTCCCAGAAAGAGACTCAATGTAAAAAGAGAATCTTGAAGTGCATTATTTGTGTAATTACAAATAAGTTAGTCAATAAAAATATAATCCCTGCATATTGTTTTGGAAAGAGTAATATTTGTTTCTCAAAAAATAAATCATAATATCATGTCATACTTACAAGTTTTCAATCATTTTGAAATTTCTTATTTTAGTAGACATGTGCTTTTCTTTTTCCTTAGAAATGTCAGATGGAAAATGATAGTTCATGAGTGAAAGAGCCAATTTTAATAACTAATTTATCATAGCTTTTCATTTTAATATATGTGATTACTTGTTTATTATAATTACTAGTAAGTTTCAGACAATGACAATTTTTGATCTTTTTGTATAAATTCTCAAAATAATTCTGGATTGAAAACTCCAGGGAAATTAGAAATCTGTCTGCTTTGCTCAAAGCTGTATCCTGAGTATCCAGAAAAGTACTCATATATAATGAGCATTTAGTACTTGTTGATTAGATGACTGAAAAAATTAAAAATACTCTGACTGTGGAAATTTACAGGTAAGTGTGCAATTTTTTAAATAAAATTACATTAACTTATAAGTAAATGTAGCTTTGCAGAAAAACAAAATCAAATAGAGTGAAATCTTTAATTTTACCTACCAAATACTAGGAAGTGAACCAGAAGACCTATGGTCACTGCCACCACTGTCAGGGACAACACAATGAGAAGGGCAATCATCCATGGCTTCAGATTTCTACTTCGGGTGCCAAATCCTACTGTCCTGCAAAAAGGAAGGGCACACTGGTTACTTTCAGACTGTAATGCTTGCAGGTTTTCCTGCTTTCCTTAAAAAAGTTCAAGTTGCTCTACCCTGACTTTCCCTGCAAGAAGTCATTTGTCTTTAATTTTGTTCAAGGTCATCTTGGCCTGAGAAGATGTGTTAAAAAAAAACAAACAAACAAATCAGGATCTGGGAATCCCAGTGTTTCTCCTGGTTTCTATTCTAGAGGCATTTGGTGGCTCTTTGTAGTGGTCAGGAATGGTTTCTCTTAGTGTCATGGTCCAAGGTGGCACACATGCTTGAAAAAGGACCTTTCCGCCTTTCTCCAGCACTTTGTTATCTCTTTTATCTATCTATCCTTTTAGAGTTCAGAGTGATTTTAAATCTAGTATCTTATTTATTTTTTATCTTCTATTTTTAACTACTATGAAAATGTACGAACATAAAAAATTCAATCTTGCATGTTCATCACATGTACCCCAAAACCTAAAATGCAATTTAAAAAAATAAATAAATAAATAAGAAGAATGGTGTAACGAACATCTATCTATCTATCTTTATATATATATATATATATATATATATATATATATATATATATATACATACCATGTTGTTATATCAGTTGTTAACACTTTTACCCTATTTGGCTCATTCATTTTTTTCTGCTACTGTATTTTAATGTAAAATAAGACATCATGACTTTTTACCAAATCATTATAAACAATTAGCTTATATCCAAAATAACTGTAATACTATTAACATTCCTGAAAAGTTTAATATTTCTGCCATATCATCAAAACCTAATCCATCTTCAAATTCCCTCCATTAGTTTCATTATAATTACAAATGGTTTGTAAAAACCAGGAAATAATGGAGGACCATGTAGTACACTTGGTTGTTATGCCTTTTTAATCTCTTTTAATCTAAAAGAATCCTGCTTCTTTTTTGGTTTTTAATGACATTGACTGCTGAAAAGATCAAGCTAATCATACTTTAGAACATTCTGGACTTGTCTGAAAGCTTTCCTGTGGTATTATTTAACTTGTTCTTCTATATCCCTCATTTTCTATAAGTTGGATTACCTTTAGGTTTTCTTTAGATCTGAAGCCTTGATTAGATTTTGGTTAAATTTATTTGGGAAGAATACTTCAAAGGTGGTATTGTGTATTTTATATTGCATCACACCAGCACCTATGATCAGCAACAGTACTTATCACATTGAATCGAGTATTAGTTTCCATGCATGTTGACTTACAGATAACTTCTCAATGAGCTGCATTAGTCTTGTTCCTCTTTTTACCGCTATGACCCAATAAGGCACCTGATACAGAGTAGGAATCGTATAAATCTATGAGAGTCAGTCAGGAATTATACCAACATTACACAGGAAATAACAGAAGATGAGAGAGGGGATATCTGTTTAAGGGTCCATGTTGTCTAACTCTCATGCTTGTTCTCTAAAACTTGCTATTATAGTGAATTTTATTTATACATTTTATCAGAGTTTATTGCTTTATGTGTATGTGTTGATAGCCTAGATTTTTTTTTTTTAGAAATAGAAGATATTTTTCATATTTTTTTTTCACAGGATTGGTCGATTTATGAAAAGTTTTTGTTTTGAATATAGAACTATATTTTTATATATAAATGTCAGGATAAAAGGTAAAACTGTTTGGACATAAAATAGTTAAGAAGATAATAGCTTTGGCATAAGTAATAAAATTAATCAAGCAATGTAGTGGAATTTGAAAGACCTGAGTTCTACTGAGTAAATATTGACCATGTGTGCACTGACTGATGAAAAATAATGTAGAGAACTGGCTGTGGAAAGGCAGCAGGTCCTCTGATAGACACATGCTAACATGCTTGAATATAACAACAAACAGAAGTCCCATGGAACGTGACATTATCTAACCTCCTAAATGATTTAAAACATAAATTCATAAGTGAAGGAGACCTTAAAGACAGTTTAGTATAATAGAATCACTTTCCAAATGACAAAAATGAAGTCCAGTGATGATTAAGTAATTTTTCCAGTATGATAGAACCAGGAGTCATCTCAAACTCAGGTCTTCTAACTTCTAGGACACAAATTTATTCTCAGTGACTCTCCATTGATTCCATTCAAATTATTGAAAAAAATTATCATCATTTATATATTAATCTATTCATTCACTCATACACGTTCAATTTTTTCAACTCTTTGTTTTTTCATAGAATCTTATCAACACATCTCCAAGTCATTTGAAAAGAAAAAAAGACCAAAGGAGAAAAGTTAAAACTCAAGGAAATTTATAAGCTTTAAATCTATTTTCCCATTAGAGCACAGTTTCTCTGAGTAAGATAAATAGAGAAAGTAGATGAAAGAATCACATCTCCCACCACCAAGACACACATAATGTCCCACTGCTAGGAACTGAACCATGGGATCAGAGCTGAAGATTGGTTCCATACCCATTGACACACTGATCAAGTGTCATGGAAGTCATATCTTCAAATTCCACAGAATGAGCTGTGAGCATCTGAGAGAAAATGGTAGCCAACAGACTAGAGTGATAAGTAGCTAGAGTGTTTCTCCTTTTGGGGAAGCATTTAGATAATGAAGCAGATGTACACTGCCAGATTACAAAAGCTGCAGAAGCCATAGGTTAAAGCTACAGCTACTAAATCCTATCTGAATATATTTTCAACTTACTGCCCACTTTTATGAATATAAACAAGGAATACATAAAAACAAGAATGTATCACCACCAGGTGTGGTGGCTCATGCTTGTAATTCCAGCACTTTGGGAGGCTGAGGTGGGCAGATCACTTGAGGTCATGAGTTCAAGACTCTCCTGACCAATGTGGTGAAACCTTGTCTCTACTAAAAATACAAAAATTAGCTAGCTGTGGTGGTGTGCTTCTATAATCCCAGCTACTTGGGAGACTGAGGCACCAGAATTGCTTGAACACAGAAGGCGGAGGTTGTAGTGAGCTGAGATTGCACCATGTACTCCAAGCTGGGTGACAGAGCAAGACTCCGTCTCAAAAAGAAGAAAAAAAAATATCATCGCCTTCCTGTTATGGAGAAGTCATATTAGTCATTTGTGGAATTTGACTTCAGATTTGAAAAGAAATACACTTGGTAAAGCCTTTTGGAATCTAACCTTATAGATATTAAAGATGCACCATTTTGCTCCTGTATTTTTTCGTGCTTTGCTTGTGCTCATAAAACAAACACAGGTGTTTTAATTTTCTATTGCTTTGTAACAAATTACCACAAATTTTGCAGCTCTAAGCAACACCCATTTATTAGCTCACAGCTCTGTATGTGGCATGGATGGGTTTCTGCTCAGGATCTCACATGGCTGAAATCAAGGTGGTTGATTGGGGTTCCTTTCTCATCTGAAATTTGCGACCCTCTTCCAAGCTCATTTAGGTTTTTGGCAGAACTCAATTCCTTAAAGCTAAACTGAGGTCTCTGTTCTCTTGCTGGCTGTGAATCAGAGGCCTCTCTCAGCTCTCAGATGCTATCCATTACTTCCCACTGGGCCATCTCCGCCTTCAAAGCCAGCAGTGGAGAATCTCCCTCACATCAAATCTCTCTCACACTTTGAATCTCTCTACTGGGAAAGCCCAGACTCTTTAAAAATGTCATCTGATTAGGGTAGGCTCATCAAGGATACTCTACCATCTTCAAACCAATTGATTTGGGACCTTTATTAGATCTACAAAATCTCATAGCAGCACCTAGATTAGTGTTTGATTGAACAATTGGGAGAAAATTTATGTACACTGAAGGGTGGGAATCTTGGGGGCCCTCTTATAAGTCTGCCTACTAAAAGTGGAAATACTATGACTTTCAGGAAAATGAAAGGAAAAAGAAACTATAGCCTTAAAAGAAAGCATGTAAAATTTAAATATTCTTTAATTGTTGTAGGGGTGGTGAGGGAGAACCATTTAATGAAAGGGGGATTTTATGTTAAGCATAGAATTAAAAATAACTAAGGGATATTTTACTGAAGTAATAATCCTGGAAATACAAAGTAAACTCTTAAAAATGAAAATGGGAAGAAGGCTGAAAGTAAGCCCTGATTATGACTACTTGGCACTCTGTAGTCTTTGGGGATGTAAATGTGGCTAAGAAGGAGCCCTGAAGAGGTAGAAGAGCCTTGGTGGGCCAAGGCAAAGGCAGGTGCCACCTTTGGAGGTCAGCTGGCCAAACAAAAGATGGGGCAGACCCCTCTGGGACAGAGACCACCAATGGATGTGGGTCCCCTGAGTACAGATGATCCTGATTCACGGTAGCACATTATCCTTACTCAGAGTGGCACAACCTATAATTTCCATGAAATCCAATTAGACCAATCCAAATCTGTTAGACCTTCATCCAGTTTGATTATTTGGTATTTAGAAGGATGTAGTCATGCCAAGTTTTTTCTAAAGATGTTGTCAATGAAAACATGGTGATAATTTGAGTAAGTTCATGACTGTGCTCTCTGCAGTCTTGCAGACTAAAAGACACATTCACTGAAGAAAATATATAGAGAAGTATAGATTGTTAATGATCAGAGCTGGGATTTGCAGTTTTTTTAGGAACAAAGCTCTAAGCTGGTAACTTCTGTGTATGTGAGCTCAAAGATAACTTGAGTCAAGACAAAAGCATTGTAAACCCTTTACTTCACAAGGATCTTACTTTTCCTAGAAAAGCCTTCCCTGAAGGCAGTTGCTTTGGCCACTCCAAGATCAACCACATTTTATCTCTTAGCTCCAAGTCTCTTCTTTTTTGGATAACTTTTTTTTTTTTTTTTTTTTTTTTTTTTGTAGATACATATTACCAGTGTATAAACGTAGATGCTTGTGACTATGACACAAATGCCAATTTACAGACAGGACATTTTCCCACAAGTCTTCATAAGGAAGCATAAAATACACTATCTGATTTTAAAGGAGATTATTGGTCAGCTTTCCAGGCCAAAGTACAAGACTACTTAACTCCTAATGTAACTGAACAA